CGTCCCCTTGCTTTCCTTTTCCTTCCAGAACACAACATAAATCTGTGATAGTGTACTGAATGATGGGAAAGAGGCATCTGACTACTTACATTTTAAATGCATTTTAAATGTCAGCACCTATTCTATGTGTAATAGCCTGGGAGCCTAGCCTACTTTACACACAGAAGAGACATGAGACACATGAAAATATGGTTTTCTATTCATGAGTTTTTATAACTGCATATTTGCAAGTAGTTCATGAAACTAGCAATGCATTCATTTTCCAAATGAAATGTCCATATCCTGTAGAATAATTCAAACAGGTGCTAATTAGGTGTACAGAAAGGCCACTGAGGATAATTTATGTATCTCTCTGAAACAGAAAAAATGAATAAATGTTAATTGCTTATATTATACAACAAATTATTTTCTAGAATGGCACTAAATTAGCTGCAAATATTATAATTACAAAGTAGTGGGTAATTTACTAAAGATTAATTGAAATGATTTAGGGCAAACAGCATATTTTTGCAAGGCAGCATTAATGCGTTTTGCACAGAAAAGAAAAAAAAAACCACTACAAAAAATCCTCAGTGGTTTAACAAAGTACTTTATGTACCTCATGAAAGCATCAGTGGCTTCTCTCGTGTGTCCTTCTCTAAGAAAAGCATTACATTTTTGCAGGGGAAATCACTATAGTGTCGATAATAATTAGAATGTCTGAATCAGCCTATTAAAGGACCAAGACAGAGCTCAACTGCGTGGGAGCGAGGCAAAAATCAGCTTCATTGTGTGTCCAACAGCCTCTTTGGAGAGCTGTATGAACTGCGGCCGTTTACTGCACAAGTGCTTCAGCAACTGCACCAGCAGATTGAATACATTCCTCTGAAAGCAAAATTTCACCATGCAGCAATAGTTTCATTTTCCTGAACTGAGTGCAGCAGTTTCTTGCATCCAAGCTTCGTACTGCACTGCATGGAGTGCAAAGGAATGGGGCTCAAAACAGAGACAGGGAAAGGGACTTAGAAAATTGTTCTAGTAACGCTGACTGTTACATCTCACTTTTCATTAACGTGTGTCCTCTGTCACTGAAAGAACCACTGTGATCAGTGAAAAGCAAAAAACGATAATGTATGACACAAATGCTCTCGGCTACTTGTGATATAAGCACTTCTGATACAATGCTAGTCAGTGTGCAAGATACATTTTAGGGAATGTTCCCTATGTGTACAGACCTGTCTTTACCCCTGTAGAGAGAGATGGAAAAAGCATATGTATCAATTAATTCTTGCTTAAAAACTGGGCTGAAATCCTCTTGAACGCATCAGTTATGAAATCTTGACTCTAATTTTAACTAAACACTATAATCTGTTTAATGTGAAGAGGCCCATTCAGCAACACAAGGACTTTCCAAACTCGTTTCCTACTGAGTATCTCACTTTAATGTGCTTCAGCTTCTTTCACTTGAACAGGTCTTGTTTTAAACTAATCGTGTGCAGTACTGAATGAGAATGGCTCAATAAATTTGGGCAAAAAGGCTCATCTAACATTAAAAACTAGACTGCACACAGCACCCAGCAGGACAATATTAAGACACATAGCCTTAGGGATTCAAACTGAAACATAATCATACATGGTGCAGTCCTGGTAACAAAAGGAAATAGGAATATATTAAATAGGCATGTGACTTAAGAGATGAAAGAGATATGAATCTCATAGCCAGATACCCATAAACAGAGCCTCTGAAGTAAATGCAGCTGCACATTATTATCTATATTGCTCTACCAGGCTCTGACAGACATCTGTACCTCAGAAGGTTCATTATGGAGTGAAAGAACAGAATCACAGTTCTTTACACAATGACCAAGTATCTGATCTGCTCCAGGACAGGGCATAGCATTTGCAACAGGCAAAACAGAAAAAAATGCAAGGTTGAAAATGAGCTGCCAATTTACAGAGTGCAAGCAAACTGCAACGCAAGTGCAATTCATAGGAGGTGTCAGCAAAGTCGCCTTAAAATGTAGTCTGTAGATTCTCCAGCTGCTCTCTGCCTGTCCAGTCTCCATGGTCTAACTCAGAGAGGTGTAAAAAGCTGCTTGAAAACTAGAGGGAAACGCTTGGCTCAGAGCCTCAGAAAAGACAGCTGGACGTTGTCATGCACTGGCACATTGCAGCCATACACACTTTTGTCCGTCTGTGTTGGCTTTTCTCCCTGATGCATCCATAGCCATGAAGGAGAACAGTGACACAGGAACTTTCCAAACCTTTCACGTGCACCTGATGGAACTGCCTAAATAGCAGTCAAACACTGAGAGGTGGCTGCACGTCCACAGCAATTCCACCTTATTTGCTAAGAAGATACATCACTATCAAGAGGAAAATATAGGTTGATTCTACTCAAGTGCATGACAGCAGCAGCAAGCAGACTTTCCTACACTGGCAAAATACTACAAGAAGGTTGTAGCTACATAATAAACATCCAGGAAGCAGTGGCTGCATACAACTCATAACTGTGAGGTAAAGCTACAGCAATGGTCTCAGACTGCTGTGTTATTTTACATTAAGGTTACACAGACAAGTTCAAAAGTATTTCCAATTTACACCTTTTCAATTACTGAGGATTACATGTGTCCCTGATATCAAAATAAGATTTATTTCATATATTCATCCAAAAAGGAACACTTCTTGTCTGATGAAGCCATTTTGTCTTGCTTTTACTAGTATAGTTTTTCCGTTTGATGGAAAATACTTTTTCATATGTAAATGCAACTGATCCTCAGGAAAAAAAATCATAAGGTATCAGTAAAAATATTCTGCATTGCTCTTAAAAGCTGCACCACTTCTGATGCACATTATGAACGTCTTTCATGACCAGTACTCTTCTTACAGAGTAAAAGTACATCATTGTGAAATGCATTGGTAGCAGCTGAATCCTCTGCAGTCTCTTCCCCTGTCCTGTGCCTATTAACAAAATGAATCGATGGACCTGCCTTACCCTGCCAGTTGAACTTGTTCTGGTTTCGTCACTAGAACACAGGAGCTTACAGAATCATATGATCACAGAATCAGTGCTACCTCAGTCAAAAACTAGCTAACCAAACCCAAAATTCAAACACTTAGTTTTTCAGAGGTTTTTGTTTAGCAAGGTCGTGAGATTTCTCAAGAACAAAAAGTCCTCTGGGTGAGTTATTCCACACATGCAACTTGCCCTGTGACAGCTCAGTACGAGGCTATCTGGATCACTGGCCCCCCTAAAAGCACAAAGATCTCAAAAGGACATGCACATTCCAGGTATTCAAGTTCCCACTATCCAAGTGAGAAATTAAAAGGCCAAGCCGCCTTGCTGAAGTGTGGCAGTGTTTGAGCCTAACCCTGAAACCCCATCCCTACCCACAGGAATACTGACGGAGACTTAAGGGTGCAAATGCCAACATGTGTGCCTGAGTGATGACTCAGGATCTCAATTGTGAGAACGTACTATGTTCATAAGCATGAAAAATGTTATATTGCTTCAGTGAAGCCACGGTGATCAGTATCACCTGAGGAGCTGGTGATGGATGTGAGCACTAAAAGCACATTTCTGTGTGTGCGCAAACCAGGCTGTTTAACAGCACCAGTCACAACCGATCTGTTAAGGCTGCAAGGAGCAATGGTGTCCTTTCACAGTACATCTCCTCAGGTAGAAGTGCACTCTTCCCAAGGGCAGTGACAACGAATGCAAAACGTGGCATTTGTAATGATGGTTCAATAGACTGGTGCAGCTCCCAAACGTCGGAAAGCAGTGGACAGACATTTTTGTACCTTTGGGAAACCTGATTTACACTGATAAGATTTGGAGAAGCCCTAATGAGTGATATTAATAACCTTAGCATACTGAAAAATCGGAACACAAAGTAGAAAATATTTCATGTTAGCACATGAATCTTTTTCTATTTCATCTCCTTGTTTCAATGTTAAAATTGAACACTTTTAGAAATCTTTTTTTTCACATTAGAGCCAACTCCTTCACACCTGGGTGTGTTGGTGGTTCTGATTACACTTCTACATCTGCCAATGAAAACTTACAGCACAATTAGAAAAAAAAAGCAACAACGAAGGCCCCACCTCTGCAAATATAATTAGACATGTTCACTAATGCTATCTGACAACACGGCAAGCACAGTGGGTCTTTGTCTGGTTGTGTGTTGTGTTGTCCTGCATTGTTGCCACTTTACATACAATGGCACTCAGTAATACTGACACATAACAGCTTCTATGAATCAAGATGTCCTTCACAAAGTATCAAGATTTTTTAATGAAATGCCTGAAGCTGATGAGTAAGTCATTGGGTTCTTCTTCTGAATGATGTCGGTGGCTGTGTAACTCTAAGTATCAAAAGAGATGCTCTACAAAAAAAAAAAAAAGATAAGTGTTTTATGTTCAATCTTATAAAACTGTACACAGTAACAGTCTACAACATGAAAATGGCCATTAAGTTGTTGTAACAGTTATGAAATGCAGCAAGTATAACAATTCTAACGTTTCACTTACTTATCATTAATCACCGAATTCATACAGTTTTGTTTATATATATTCAATGGTACTGTAAACATAGCTGTTGGAAAACACACATTGACACTCAACCCATTAGAAGTTTAGTACTTTCCATTTGAAAAGTTACAATATATCAAGATATGATGGATTAAAAAAAAAAGAAGCCTTGAAATATAATGCACATTTTGTCATTTTCTAGGATAGAAATTGAGATGTGATAGAGAATATTCCAGATTTGACTATTTTACATTTACACCTATAGTGATAGAAAACTTTAAACATTAAATGTAATTAAATAGTACAGAGTTTATGAAACAGTTATTTCAGAGATTCACAATGCCCAAAATCTTGGTTGTGTATAACAGGAGCTCCCATTAACTTACACCTCTCAGTCTTTTATGGAAAATTTAAGTTATTTTCTCTTTAACAACATGCCGACAAACTGAATTTTAACTGAACGATCTCCCCTCCCCACCCTCCCCCCCACTGTACAAAACGGCATTCAACTGAAGAAGATGCTTGTATTTCCTGTTGCTGGACATGCATCCCATAGGCCTTCAGCATATGTTTGAGCATTTGGTGATTCCATTTTGTGGGGCAGGGAAACTCACTCTCGATGTTGCTCTCAGTAAACAAAATGTTCCTAATTTTTGCAATTGTTAAGGCAGCTATGCTGATGTATTAAACATGCCATGTGCTTTTGTGTGGCTTCCTACAATCTAAAGAGTAGCAGTGAAAAGAAATTTCAGACATGCTTTGATCTTCTCGACCATTGAGTAATTTCATCCCGTTGGTCAAAGTACTTCACTTCAACATGTTTTACAACTGCAGATGTAGATTATTAGCCGCTCACTGGAGAAACAATGCATGTATGGGCTTAGATTTGAAGACTGACCATTCCTTTAATTTATCAGAAAAAAACTTCAACACAACAGCCAATATGATTCCAGTGAACGTAACTGAGAAGAACAGTAACACACGTACACAGTTCTCATGTTCTCAATTATTTCTATCCCATAACTAAAGCTACTTGAACTTCTGTCATCGTTTTCTCTGCATCCTGGCTGGGCTTTGTCAGAAGCTATCTTCACTCTAGGTGAGGACACTTCCTATCTGCCAACTCCAGCCCATTGTTTAATATTCATTCTAATATATCAAGTAAAACAGATAGCTATTTAGCTTTGCTTTCTCTGGGTAAGGCTGCAGGTGTAGGTGACAGTGAACAGAAAGGCTTGTGCAGTGGCTGCAATCGTGTGCAGTTATGGGGGGCAAGGCCACAGAACTGCTAGTGCTGTTAAAACAAAAAGTGAGGAACTCAGGGCTGCACTGCTCCCATTTCCAGTTACGCTGTGTTTAGAGGATGACTTGACAGTGCTTGTGGTGGTTGTGGTGACAATCTTTTTCACAGTTGGTTTTGGTTCATTTCTGTTTTCTGGATGGGTTTTCTTGTCCTTGAGTATATCTGAAAACATGAAAGTAAATGTAGGATTAATCACACATCTGGAACATGGAATGGGATACGTACTCTAGCCTGAATAACCAAACTGTGTATGGAGTGACAGGATGCCTATATTAACGTTTTAGTTGAACCCAGTGGCCACATCACTTTGCTAGGCACCCACTGTTTTGCTCAGGAATTCCAGCCCAGCCTTCTGGTAGACAAAGCATAAACCTGGCCACAGTTTAATCCCTTTAAAAATACCTTCATTTTTACCTGGGATAGGAACTGGTTTGTGCTAGGGTTGACCAGTTTTGTAACATGCCCCAGTGAAATAACTGTCAAGTTGTTAAGCTACCACAGGAGGAGAGTTGGAGAACATGTTGACTTAATTCATAAGCCAGCTTCCTAGCTGCTTTTTGTATTGCCTTTACTTTAAAGCAACACAGGACTTTCGGTACGGTAGGATGAACTGGCAAGAAAGGCTACTAACACAAAGAACTACATAGGTGTCTGATATGGCCTGTTCATCAGCGTGGACAAATAAAGCGGCTGCAAAGAGAAAATGCTTTGAGTTTTGTTCCGTCATTTTCCCTAGTAAATACAAGTTGTTTTTTTTTTTGTTTGTTTGTTTGTTTTTTGTTTCACCACTAAGATATGGAACAGTTGCATGTTATTTATTTATTTATTTATTTTCCATCCCTCCACATGCATTTTGGGGCAGTTTGGGACACTGTGTATGGAAAGGATTAGATATGCAAGAAACTAGTATCAGTAGTCTGTTCTTGCAAAAACACAGACTTTTCAAATGAGAAAACAATTGATAAAAGTCCCCAGTTATCTTTGCAAGCATCACTGCGATCTTACTGCCATTGAGTCCTTCTCTGGCATTGTGCAAAAAATCAGCACTTCCTCTAATGATGACATGATCTGCAAAAGCATAACCTAAGTGTCTGGCATATAACCGAATTCTTACCTGCAAGAACTGATAAATTAACAATAATTGTTCAGGTCCAAGCTATAATTTGTGATACTAATGAATGCAATGCACATACACACATAAAGCAAAAACTGTAATTTTATCATGCAAATTCAACAACAGCCCAATCTCATAATTAAAAAACAAACAAATAGAACCCCCCTCTGAATCAGAGAAGCAAGTTCTTGGTAGAAACTAGAAAGGCAGAAAGTATTCCAGACATGTAAATGCAATCTGAGATCATTGTCTGCATATCAGTAGTTCTGACCAACCATCAATAAACCCACTTGATAATAAAAATGAGCTATTGTATTAGGAAAGCACACACTGTTCTTGCCAGTATAAACAGTAAAAGAAATGCAACAAATTCTTCCATTTTATCATAATGTCAAGCAGCTGAACACCACACAGCCTTTTGCTCACTGCTTCCCCTTCCCCAGTGTTCCATATATACATGGAAATATAAATATATTTATTTACAAAGAAAGTGCTCAAGCTTCTCATTCTTGGTCACCATTTGCTGACCAATGCCCAGCCAGTCCCTAATCAGAGGCAGCCCTCTCAGTCACCTCACCCCAGTTTCATAGTTTTTCCACGTGCCACCATACAGTATGGAATATCTGAGGGCAGCTGTCCCGGCTCTGTCCCCTCCCAGCTCCTCACTGGCAGGGCAGCACACAAAGCTGAAAACTGAAGTGCCCTCAGCTCTGTGCAGCACTGCTCAGCAACAACTAAAAGATTGCTGTTACCCACATTGTTTTTCTCCTAAAGCCACAACGTGGCACCACACCAGATGCTGTGAATCATCCTTTGCCCAGCTGAAACCTGCATCAACAGTGACCCAGAGGATCCTGTGATTTCTGAACCTGATTCAAGGCTTACTGCAGAGAAGGGACACAGCTGGCAAGGAATGCAGTGGGAAAAAGGCAGTTTGCCATTCTATTCCAAATTGCTATGGCAAAATGTTCCTCAATTCCAGCTTGCAATGGAGCTAACAGAAGGGGGGAGGAGAAAAAGCACGCTGTAAATATTTAGGAAATACCAGTATTCTGAGGACACTTTAAAAAAAAAAGGACAACCTTCAGACTGTCATTAAAGTAAATTAAGGATAAATCATGGAAGTAGGTGTGCTCTGACACTGCCTAGACTCCTTTCCATCACTGTCATTTTCCTTTCTGACTGTGGGAAACGCACTGCTTCTCTGCTGCCTCTTATATCATCTCAGTCTGCTGACTTCAGCTCTCTGGGGCCAGCTGATTAAATTAAGACCTCACTCAGGTAAATCTATTCCCCTCTTTCACTTGGCCATGTCCAGCATTGTAACTTGATTGGCCTCTATAAATCGGGCAGACTGAAATGTATTAATTCATTTATTTTCTTAATATTGACCTAACCAAAAAATCTAAGGTAAGATTTAATGCTATCAGAGAAGCCGTTGGTTTTTAAAAGCTTTCCTCTCAGTGATTGCTTAATGCACTACATAACAAGCATTAAATAATACATTAGAAAATTCTGCCTTTATCCTTTACGTGGAAGGGACTCTGAATTCAGAGTTACTCTGAATTCTCTCTTTGTCTTTACAGCAGAGTGCTTCTCTGACGGACAATTCTGACGTAGGACTCTAATTAGCAATCTGCTTAAAAATAAATAAATAAGAATAGCCCTAGTCCTAACCCAATTCAGCATCTTTTTCAATCCCATATTCAGTTTTTAAGTCACAAATTTCAGCAAAAATTTCATGTCCTTTTCCAGTTTGTTCCAGCTGCTTACTCACTCCAGGCTTTTGTCTGAGATACTCAGAGTTAAATGAGTTTTTCTCTCAAACCTTTTTCTCAGAGTCAGGGCTGGTTACATTCAGTCTACTACTGACATTCAAAAGGCAAAAAGATAGTATGGTAATTAAAGTGTCAGTGTGAAGAGTAGCACAGAAATGAAACTCCAGTCTCAACAAAGTGAACCCCAGATGGTTCAATACCCAAGAATCAACCCCACAAATCATGACTTCAAGAAACAGAAGCCCCAGCTTCAGTCTATTCTGTTTACCTTCTGCATTTTGAAGCTTTGTGCTTCCCAAGTAAAAGCTCTCTCCATTGCTGGGAGCTTTCTTACCATCATCACCCCGTTTCTTTCCAGAAATGGAGTTTAAATCTTTGAAGACTAGCTAACCTTATATAGATGGCCTATGGACCTTGGTATGTGAACTTCATTCTACACTTACTTTTCTCATGTGATACATTCACAATTTATGTTAATAGAAGCATATACTTCTAATAACATGTGTTTTAAGATCTGTACTACACTATGCAGCAATCACAACACAGCACCTGTGCTTTCCCTTATCCAGGCTTCAAGCATGAACACTCAAATCCTGCCAGAAGGGATACTCAGTGCTGGTAGCTGGCTGCCCAGCAGCTCCCATGAACAGCCACCCAGGACCCCTGCCAGGGCCTAAGTCTGCTGTGGTCAGCGAAGATGGCCCAAGTCCCCTTAGGCACCAGGACCCTGTGCAGCTCTGTGAGTCCAAGGGACTGAGTCCCACTCCTTAACTGATCTTTCATCTGCATTAACTGTAGTTAAATTCACAGCTTGACAACATTAACAAAACACATAATTAAAATTACTTGACCTCAGTGTTTAGAGCATTTAGGATTATTTTCACCTCAACAATGCAACTGCAGATTGCTACCCAGTAATGCATGTGCTGGCACTGAACTTCTCACAAATACTTCTGTGAATCAATGCCATTCCTCTAAGAGACTAGCCAGGATAAAAGGGAGACAAACCTGTCATTGCCATCCAATTTAGGTGTGGGAAACCTCCCCTGCAGTGAGGACTGAGTACACCTTCCAAACACATTTGGTGAGTCACACACTACAGCACACCTTAATCTCAGCCAGTCATGATACAGTGGAAAAATCATGTGGGTATTATTTTTTTAGGTTATTACCAAGTTAGCTGACACGAGGTCAGCAATATTGGCAGCCCAGACGTTAGTTACGCCTCTCTAGCCTAAACCTTTTGCAGTTGGCTGTCCTGGCACTGGTAGGAATTATCAAACTGATTGGTGCACTCACACGCTATTGCTCGCTAATGAACAGCATCAGTAAAGCCTACTTAAACATCTGTGGAGGCTTCCTATTGTCCTGCCAAGGGACAAACAAGCTCATCAGCTTAAAAAGAAAGGAAAAAACTTCTCTGATTTTGGCCTTCTCTTGATTTGACTGGAGCTCGGTCCTCTCTGTGATTGCAAATGGTCAGTGTGACAAAGTCTTCTTCCCTAAAAGAAGGGGACAGACTCTTTAGCAGGTTCTGTGGTGACAGGACAAGGGGAAAAGGATTCAATCTCAGGGAGGTAGGTTTAAGGTGTATATATAGAAAAAAGTCTTTTACAGTGAGGGCGGTGAGGCTCTGAACAGGTTACATAGTGTTGTGGTGGGTGCCCCATCCATGGAGACTTTCAAGGCCAGGCTGATCAAACCCTGGGCAACCTGATCCAGCTGTGGTGTCCGTGTGCAGTGCAGGGCACTTGGGCTAGATGGCTTCCAGAGGTTCCTTCCAACTCTAAGGATTCTATGACTATGATTCTAATTACATCAAGCCATGCCCATACATTTCTTCCTAGACTTTCCTGCAAACACTCTGCTTTGAAAAGACTGAATGTCAGCATCTATGATGACAAATTAATTCCTGGTTTGAATGTCTCCTGATGGTTACAATGAGACACAGGTCGAAAGTGAACTGTGAAAGTGAAAGTGGTCAGTCCTTACTTCACTCCCAACCTTGTAGCTCTGCTGCTTGATTTCACTTTGATCATAGCCTTGGTTTTGGCAGACAAGACTGGGAGAAAATTAAAACAAGGTGCAACTTGGTGGAACTGGTGCTTAAATTACAGTAGATGCTGCAGTGTTATTACTAGCTTTTTATCACCTCTGGTAGCAAAAGCTGAAATTACTTCTACGTGTTCAAAGGAAGGAACTCTGAAATTGCGAAACAATGCTGTCACCATAAAATGTAACAGCAATTTCCAAATAATCTATTATCCTGA